TAAACTGAAAGAGGGCAGATTTACATTGGATGTAAGTAACTAACGTTTTACTCTGAGGGTGGTGAAACACTGGAATAGGTTGCCCAGAGAAGTTGTGGATGCCCCATCCCTGGAAGTGTTCAAGACCAGGTTGGATGAGGCTTTGGGCAACCTGGTGCAGTGGAGGGTGCCCCTGCCCATGGCAGAGGGCTTGGAACTAGATGATCTTTGAGGTCCCTTCCAACCCAAACCGTTCTATGATTGTGTAAACTACCATCGCCTTTGGTGACAATGAGCCAATGTTGGGTTTTATTCCTGATTTGATAAAGAATTCAGCCTTGTTTTCAGTATATATCTGTCTTCTCTTTTTGCTAATGTTTGGAGTCTCTCAGACTTCATCTTCCCTTTTTCCCAAATCTACATTTACCCATAATTACTCCCTTTAGCACACTACTAAGCCATTCTGGTTTTGATCGTTTGTTTTTTAATAACTTTTGATTTGAAAAGTTGACAGGTTGAAAGTCCTTATCTACTCTGATTTCAGTGGAAATTAGATACATAAATATCTCTGTGGAACTGAGCCGTAATGGCTGAGCTGCTAGCAAAGCTGTTTTGTCTGCAAAGAAAAGTCCTCTTCAATAGAGGACTGAATGACAACTGAAGGTGCATCATTACAAAAACCTAAGGACTATCAACAAAATTAGTAGTATAACATCATTTTAATCTTGAAATACTAGTTGAAGTGAATTTCTAAATGTTTTAGATAAGCATGATAAACCAGGATGAATATTCCTTTGTTTCTTTGTAGAGAAAAGTGAACTTTTTTTGAGCATATTACAGTTCTTTGCCAGACTGGATACAAAACCACAAACGCGCAACTGCATCAGAAAAGATTTATTTAACTCTGTAATTCTGGTGAAAACGGGAGGGCTTTATCACTAACTGTTAGACCAGAAGAGAATAATATGTGGTGCCTTCAATGGTGGCACACTAACTGTGGTGTACCAAGAGGTTCTATTCTACGACTGATGGTAATTAGTATGTTTAGTAATATGGAAGGGGAGGCAAAACAGGGAGATTATTCTTTTTGGATTTGACAGCTTTACGCAATGGATACTTTATTTGTGCAATAAAGAGATAAAAAAATTAAGTGGTAGTTACTGAAGACATTTAGTGTAAGCAAGTATTAGGTCATTTTTTAAGGAAATACACCCTTTTTAGGTCATTATAACTAGTCTTTTAAAAGTACAGTGAAGATACCACCAAGAAGTTAAGGAATGTTAAAGATAACCACTAAGAGAGGTCAGTTAAGGAGTGTAAGAAATGGCTCAAGATTCAATTAATAAGCAATTACAGTTTCTCTCACGGGTTTCATTTTGTTAGTTCTCACAATTCCTTTTAACTACACTTTTACTGTAGTTTAAAACTGCACTTTTCTAGAGTTTGAGTTACTGTGTCATGAATACAGTCAAACTTGCTACCAAACGCAAAAGCAAAGAGAGAAGAAATATTCTTTTTACATCCACGGTATTCTTAATTGTTGTTTGTATTATTGTATACAGATGTTTTGAGAGCATGTCATTGTCTGCACGATCTGTAACTGAAGAAAAATAAATCATATGTGACAAGATTATGAGAATATTTTTTAACAGCTGTTTAACACTTTCTCGATTGTTTTTGTTGTTTTTTTCTGTAAATAGAAACAAAACTAGAAGTTATGTGATAAAAATAAAATAAAAAATAAAAAGGACGGCACCGTTTACTTCAGAGAGGTGATACATAAATGTACTCAGGGTATTTATTTCGTTAATGGAAGTTTTAGATGATCTGGAGATGTTTAAGGAATGAATATATTACCCTGTTTGCACCTTCTATTCTCTCTGCTTGCACATGTTCAAAATCACATTACAAATGTTCATCTAGAAGATGAGTACCCCAGTTAACCCCTGCCTGTTCTTCATTTGGAGGAAAACCTAGTATTTAAGAGCCTTTAAAGTCACTTTCTTCTCAGATGCAATTGCAATATGACTCTAGAAACTAATATACTTTTTTTCAGAATGAAAGAGTACTCTCTTGAAGAGACACTTTCATTTTTCCTAAATATTCTTATTCCATAAGAATAATACTTTATATGACACCATAACTATAGCTAATGCATACAAGAACACACAAAACTTACTGTTTGAGGGAAAACTGCTTTGAATCTGTTTGTGGCCTTATCTGTGACTTGTGTTGCAGGCATGGTACCTTGTGTGTCTGGGTAAATTGCACACTTCTCATATTCAGTAGTAAAAGCTTCATTTTTTCCAGTTTTGACTGACATTCTTAAATGCAACTATATTGGTCATATCTGCTTGTCATGTATTAAAAATAGTTTGTCCCTCCAACTTCAATTTAAAAATCTAAAGATAGCTCACATAAACATCTAGAGATTATAAACCCTTTTTCCCATAAGAATTTCCAGTTTGGTTGTAGGTTTAGATTTTCAGCTTGGCCTCAGTAGAAGAATAGTTAATATTCCCAAAAGTCTGTGCTATGATTTGCGGTGGTTTGACTTTTTAGTGCAGGAGTTGTTGAGTAGTTGGAAATACTCCAAAGTCTTGAGCACTTGTATTAAATAATAACTTGCTCATACCTTAGGAACTTAAATGCTGTGTCACCTCCCGACAGTGAGCATATATCCATGTTACTGTATATCCGTAAAGAAGAAATGGATAGTAGCAGCTTTTTTACTGGCAAAGTGGTGGCACACATGTAAACTAGCAGCAATCTGCAAATATATATTTAAAACGTATTTATGCATGTAAGTGGGAAGTATATTCTAGATGATGTAACTTTTGAGGAATTATCTGCAACTATAGAAAACTAGCTTGAAAGAGGATTTTTAGTGTTCTGGACCAAAATTAGTGAGATCTAAGTTCACTCGTTTGTTTTGCAACAGACCTTATTGTGCTCTCATGGAGGTAACTCCCATTTTTGCAGCTTAATTTTTTTTAACCTGTAATGCACAAGAATATGTATCCTTTTTCCAAATGAGAGCTGGAATAAACACAATTAGGCCTGTATTTTGACTGTTGTTCTAAAAAAATTATCCAAATAAATACCGTTGTCTTCAGATTATAAGCTGCAAACCATAAGTTTACATCTAATACTAAAATGACATACATGCAGATAAATCGTAAATCTGTGGATTGACAAGCTCAGAAGGAGTCAATCAGTTCTGAAACCAGTAGTGATGTACGTAGCATATTTCAGCGTAAAGGCTGGAAATAGATAATTTAATGGAAGTAGATGTTGCTGTTTGTAGACAGCAACAGGTATCGGATGTAAAGCACAACCAGAGCAAACCTGAACCTGTGGTCAGCCATGTGGAACTGCTTAAAGGCAAGAATGTCTTTCTTCTGAAGGAACCAGAATTGTCCTAATGTCTGCTCCAGTTGCAGGGAAAGGAACTTGATCGAACTTGTTGGTCCTGTTGAAAGTTGACAGTTTTGTTGTTCTTAGACGCGTGAATAACCGTACGCAGAGGCGGTGGGTGAAGAAAGTGGCTTTTGCTGTTGTGTCAAAATTGGAAAACAGTGGTATGATGTTAGGCTTGAAATCAGCCTAAGATGTACTGGAAGAGAAAAAGGCTTCTTGACAGCAGCCAGAAGGAAATTGCCATTTTCTAATTTTACAGTATTTTATAGGGAGATATTTTCAGAATTCCCAGATGTGTACTTTCTACTGACTCCCTATTTTTTATGAAGGCAGAGCCAAGTTTATATTCAGCTTTATTTGGTTTCTTTGCTTGATGTACTGTTTTTCAAAACCACCTCTTGTTGAGCTTCACGGTTTTCCCAAGTTGTTTCGGTGTGGTTTTGGGTGTTTTGTTTTTTTGGTTTTTTCCTTCAATTTTTTTCCCAGGTTTTTGGTTTTGGTGAGAGTTTTTCCTGTTTTGTTTTTTTCTTCCCCCCCCCACGTTTTTTCAATTTTATCTGTGTTTTCTGCGGTTTTTCTGCCTTTTATCTGGTTTTATAATTTTCTGCAGAAAATTATAAATTTTTTTACCTGGTTTTATAATTTTCTGTGTTTTTTCTCTGTTTTATATGATTTTATCATTTTATCCATTTTTATCCCTTTTTTTGTGTTTTATCCCTTTCTTGCACCTTTTTTGCAGGTTTTGGCAGGTTTTTTTTGCGGATTGTTTTGCATATTGTCTGTGTTTTTGCATTTTGTCCATGTTTTTGCAGGTTTTTTCCCTATGTTTTTCCTGTTTGCTTTTTTTTCTTTTCCTTTTTCTCTGTTTTTCATTTTTTTCTTGTTATTTTTTATACAGTCATTTTTATTAGTGTATAAATACAGTAATACAGCATTTCTTGCTTTTCCCTTGAGCATTTTCTTTCGGTCTCTTCACTTTCTTTTTTTTTAGGAGATATGTTAGTAATATGAAGTTCTGGGTGAAAGGCATTTTCAGTTTGTCTTGTAGCATTTCTTGAGGTGCTTCCTTTGCTTATTAGTAGTTGCTGTCATTTCTGTGGCAGTAAATTCCTTACCCATCTCACAGACGGATACTCACTGCCTTACTTGGCAGTACCTGAGCCAAGAATTTACACTGTAGACAGTGAAGGATGGGACCTGGATAACTGAAAATTGTCCAGTTTCTGTTTTCTGTAAAGGGACAGTTTTAGGACTGTGCAACTCATGCACGTTAGTATGTGCCCTGCTGTTGCTGGAAGGTTTACCACTAAAATACTTCTTTATGGGTTGTAAAGTGTGATTGCTTGTTTAATGGTTATTAAGTTGCTCCACAATTGTTGTGCAGTTAAATTTTAGCACTAGGGAAGAGCAGGTGTATGCGTGGGTGTGGCCTTGTTGTGTGTATTGAAACAGTTTTATAGTATTACCAACTAACATGTTGAAAGCTTGACATTAACAGCAATTTAAAAGAATTAAGCACCTAGGCAGAATGTGAAAAGACTCTCTAAAAGCTATTTTTCTTGTTGGACTTTTTAAATGATGTTTTTTCTTTTTGTTTCCAGGTTTTCTCAAATAATGATGAAGCCCTTATTAACAAAAAACTACCCAAAGAACTTCTGTTAAGGTAATTCTGCATGATGTGTTAAGAAGTAAAAACCTGGGGATCGTGTATTGCTTAGGTGGCGTACAGGCTATCAAGTGCTGTTCATTCTTTCTTAAATCTGTCTTCAAATAAATAGCATTAATTTCTGCTGATTTGATTCTTGGAATTCTTGAACTTGTCTTTTGGTTAGTCATAGTGATCTTTTCCTTGCATATCAGAAAAAGAAGTGAAATAAAATGTCCAGAAAGCTTTGGTGTATAAAGTGGTCAGCTCTTCCACACTGCACGATGTTTTATCTGTCTGAAGAGCCTATCATCCTTTCTCTAATGTGGTTCATATTCTTTGTGTCAGGAACTTTGTTATAATAAAATGAAATATAAATTCAACTTCAAAGCTTTCAAAAAGTCACTGCAGTGAAAAGTGGTGTCTGTTACCATTACTGCCAGTCTGTGTTATATAAGGTAGAACCAACAGGAGAATTTTTCTTGTGTAGTCATTCAACTAGTCATAAATTTCATCAACTTGCTAGTGTGAGAGTAGATCACCTTTGCAGGAGTTAGCTACAACACAGAGATCAGTAAGTTCAGCCTGTGGTTGAGACACTGACGGATGTCTTCACACTCTCATCTTGTTGAAAGTTGGTTTCAAGCAAAGTGTAAACTGTCGAATGTGGCGATACTGCTCGACTGGATGTGATCACTTAAGAGCTGGAACTGAACGAGCTCAGCAGCATCTTCTGAACGTGCATATTGGTTTTGTTCCAGCCCACTCTTTGGGGATGGGATGGGGAAAGGTGTTCACTTATCTGGTGTGATTGCAGTTTTTAGTGATGGTGTTATTAGAATTGAGCTGATGATTTCTTCTTAATACACTAAAGAGATATTTGGGTTAGCTTGTATATATGCTATTGCTTCCTGTTTGATTTAAAGTGGGAGAATGTCTCAATGGTTTTTGGCATCTTGTGTCTGAAGAAAGTACTCTTAGAACATAATGACTTCTTTCAGTGTCTGTGCTATCACAATGTACTCTTGCTGGTATTAAAGAAGCAGTCTGTTGTTAAAGGAATTGAATTTTAAAACTATTTTTGTTTATGTTGAGAAATACTCATTCCATATGGTGACAGTGTTGTAGATTAGACTTACAGAACTGTTTAGAAAATGTGATTAAAAAAGAAGAGTCACCGAATGATCCTCTGAATGGAAATTCCTAATAACTTTGCTTCGTTGCGCTCAATGTCACACGTGAACCACAAGATAAAAGTCAGTTAATATGCTGCCTCCTTAGCAAAGAATCATAATCTGCAAGTACTTCTTTTCTAGCAGTAGGACTCTCCAAATAGCTGTGGAAATGACTGTCCTTTTCACTGTTATGGGTGCTAAGTATCCCATTTATGTAATTCAACAGAACTGTGATTTAGACAGTGAAAAGTATTGTGCACTGAGAGAGTAAAGACATCTTCTTTTGAAAAAACTTCTTGATTATATAATATGCTTCATTTTTCATTGTAGGATAGAAATAAAATATCTGTGAGGCTATATAGATATTAAATTTCTAAATTATTGTCCATGCTAATTACGAGTCGCATATATAAAATGAATGTGTTGAGGTTTACTGTGAGAATTCCTGCATCTGAGTTCCAGGTGTCAGTGTCCTGAGTTGAGTATTCCAACACCAAATTTGGTATGTTCTTTAAAATGTTATATAGGGGGAAACTTGTTTGTTTCATTAAGTAGTGTGTTTATTCCAACATATATCTTACTATACAGGACATTTTAAAGAACTTGGCAGGAAAAAACCCGTGTGCGAGTAGTTGGACAGTACCAGTGGCTTAGCTGTTAGCTCTTGCGTTCAAGATAACTTCTTACAGAGTAACTCGGAGGATACATAGGCTCGCCTAGAGTTTGACCAACTGAGGAAGTGGTGCAGCTGGGCACTGCCACTACACTAACTGTTGTGGCAGTGTCTAAAGAAGCGTTCTGCATGGTGGAAGGGCTTCCTGGGGCTGGAATGACAAAATAAAATAGCCCAGGCCAAACATACACAGAACTGATTCAGCCAACCATCTAGTTCTTATGCACGTATGTCCTCTTTGCAGTTTCACAGTGATCTACCAAAGCAGCGTTGCAGCTATAGCCAAAAAAGTTGATGATCTGAGAAATTGAATTGGGACAGTCAGCTTTCTCAGTAAAGATCATGATGATCTTATGCTGAATGCTGGGACTTGTGTGATGGTCTGCCAATAGCCAGAGAGAAATAAAGTCCACATTTCATAACGCCTAAAATATTGTGCTGACCATCAGGGCTTTGGAATGGAGAGAAAGGGCATGGGTGAGAGAGACACTCTGTAAACCTCCTTTTGAAATTTTGCTGCTGCAGAGACAAACTCACAAGGCCAGAGGCAGAGTGTATTAGGGAGTGTTATGATGGGACATGGGTCTGTCTTCTAATCCCAACAGAGCGTAGATAGGTAGAGAAATTCAGATGCACAAACCTGGATGTGTAAAGGATTATCAGTGAGGAATTTGTTTTATGCTCCTGCAAATAAATGCTTTTGTAAGACTGAGCCTGAATGTCTTTCAGTGCCTAAAACAGTATATGCTTGTGCTACAACATGATTTGAAATTGTCTTGCCATATGGTTATGACAGGACAGATTAAATATTGCCACACTGAGTGTGATTAATATCCTAATTATTTTTACTACATAAACTGTACAGTCTACCTTTTAATTAAAAGGAGAGTAAACCAATTGCAGTGGAAACATTTTACTCGCGGTGCCAGAACTGAATAGTAAATACTGTTGAAAGTGTCATCAAATGCACTTAGTTTTGCACTTAGTTTGTCGCTTGCTTATATCAGACATGTATGAAACCTGTTGAAAAGTAGTACAGCTCTTTTTTTAAAAAATATAAGATTTGACACATGGAAAAAGAGTGGTTAATATCTTGTTAAAAGTATCTGGAGTTGAGATGTAAACTCAATTTCTTTTGTTGCAGGAATTGGTCTTGTTCTCATTTGCATCAAAGATTTTAACTTCTGTAATGTTGTTATAACAAGCAATCCATTTTCTTTCTCTTAAATTGAGAAACTTTTTTCTGGTGGTAGACTTAGGAAATACTACCACTCTAAAGTTTATTCATTTGTTGCTATAGTTGCATACTCTAAGCTTGAACAAAGTAAGCCCTTGGTCTTATACTGCAGTTCTTACTCTTTCTGATTGTCATTATCATTATTATTATTATTGTTAATCATCTAACAAATGGAATTAGACTGGAAGGTTTTCAGGGCAGTGTCATGTCTCGCCTCTTGTACGTTTTCTATGGGATATCTACTACACTTGTAAGTAAATGACTGAAACTCTCAGCTTCTCGGGCAAGGAGCTCATTTGAAAAGATATGAAACCAGACGTTATTTGTTCCTTCTCAAGTAGACCCGTATAACTAGGCAGAGGAGGGAGAGGATATCTGACTAATATGGAGAGTGATGGTTTTGAAGACCTTGGTTTGGAGGGACCAGTTATGCGCTGAGGTAGGTAGAATAGCTTGAGCGGAGAGAAGGAGGTGTTTAATTTCTAACGTTTTTTGGTTTATGGGTATTTTTTAAAAGTTTTAATATTGGAGTAAATTTTTTTTTTTGCTATGGAAGAGATTGCTTCCAACAACTTTGATTTGTAGTACTGTTCAAGCTAAAAGAAAAATGATCACCCCTGTTAGCTGTTGCAGTGCTATTAGTTTGCCAGTTGGCAAAGAAAGCTCTCTTGCTTCTGCTCTTATATATTACAAGAAGTGAAAGGTTGATTAAATGCTCGATTGTTTGATGTTTGAGTAAGAATCCTGTGGAGATATAAATCATGTAATGTAAACAATGTTTTCAGACAATTGTAGCTTTATTTTTTTCTTTGCCTCTGTGTTTATGGAAAAGTATCATTTGATAATACAATACATTAGTTGTGGATTTGCATTGGTGTTTAAAGTTAAGAAACTCATGTCTATCATCAGAAGAATCAGAAATCAAGTCAGAGATAGACTATTGCAAATTTGATGGTAACAGCTTTTCCAGTAAGATGTCACAGCCTTAAAAATTATGTTTTTCTTTTTTTCCTTGTAAATTGCTAGAAAAAACAAATGGATTTTTAAAGTTACAGTATGAATTTGAAAAACATCGGAAACAAAAAAACTTAATGTAATTAATATTAGAATGTTCTGACTTTCCAACAGCGCCCAAATTTTTTTTTATGTTTTGTGCTTGCTAAAAATTAATAATACATGTTGGAGATGGAGGTATAGCCAGTACATTTGGCATGTAGAAGGACAGATAACATTTGTTCACTTGTATTTTAACAGCTAACATCCTGTGCTATAAAATTTTGCATGAAAATGGCAAGCTTCAGAAACAGAGATGTTTGTTCCTTTTGGCTGCTTGAACTATTTTCATTTTCTTATTGCCTACAAAGTAGTAACTTCATAAATTGTACCGTAAATGTAGAAGTTGTTTTGAGTTCTGCTATAAACCATCCTTACTGGGTGCACATACTTGAATATTCGGTCTTAGAAGTCAGGCTCAAAATTTGAGTGCTTGATCAGATTTAAAACAGGATAAGCAAAGTTTTGAGACTCAAATTGGGAGAGGAACCCAGTATCTGTGTTCCAGCAGCAACTTTTCTCATGTGCGAGAATGTGCAGCTTGTGAGTTCGCTAATGAAGTGTTACACATGTTTTCATGTTTCTATTGTTTGATTTTATTACTGCACACTCCTTTTTGCTTAGCTTTTAGTATTTGCATTATTGTAGAGAAGAAAAATTACCAGAAGCTTAAAATTACTGAAGTCAAACATTATATATGGTATATTTGAAGTGATGCTTTACCCATCTGTCTTCTTAACTGTGGGGGAAACAGGAAAGAAATACAGCAAAGGTTACAACAAGAAATTGTCATAATGCCATCAGTATTTCTTAGTATTTAAGTATATATCTCAGTATTTAAGTACTGTGGGTACTTAAATGGCCCACAGTCACTGTAAAA